TTTTATCTGGTGTTTACACATCCTAAAACCTATACCCTCAATTTTTATAAGGTTTACTATTTCGATAACTAAATGTATGAGAAATCTAAAATTGAAACCTATTGTATGAAAGTTCTTATAATTATGGGAATTTAAGAGGTTTCCCCTGTCAACTACAAGTAAATGTAGAGATTCAACTGGGGAGAATTTACTGTGATAACTTGTCATGAATAACCTGAATGTACCAATATATGTGTGCAATCTTATTTTTGACAATTATATTGCAGAATCATAATTATATTAATGGAAAATTAAGGATCTTTTTATTTTACTGGTATATATCTTGGAATAAAAAAAAAATCATAATTATTTTTTACATATTGCAAATTGTAGTTCTGAGCCTGGCATAAACTTGGATAATACCGGTATATTAATTTCAAATGTGATAGAAAAGCAGAAGGAGAATGTAAATATAAATGCAAAGGTTAAAACAATTTAAAAATGGAAATAAATCCTGAAAGAAAAGGTTAGTTGTGCTATATATATTTCTATAGTGTAGTGGTCATCACACTCGCAACTCTTTGGTGGGAGACCCATGTTCAAATCCTGGTGGAAATAATAGTACAACTTATAGTACAATTATGTTCATACTACAAACATATATAGATAAATATACAACTCATTTCCCATTTCTTGGTACATTTCATATGAATATATATATATATACTTGTTAATTTGTTCTTTACTGCATACAACAACAGGACATTCAAACATCTTGGTAGGCAGTGAGTATTACATTTATGATTTGTGAACTCAAGCTAGAAAATGGATATTTTTTTTGTTTTCAAAGTCTTGGTGTTGACCTCTTGTGAATGCCTTTTGTCCATCATAGTAACCACTTCAGTTATTTTTATGCCGATGCCATACAATGGGGGGGCGGGGCATATAGTGTTGCCCATGTCCGTCCCGTCCCGATTCAATGTAAACAATTAGCAACTTCATTTCTTCATGGATTTTGGTCAAACTTTATGCAAAGGTCAAGTATGAGTATACTTTGGACATTGTTGTGTTGCAGGGTTCCAAGGTCAAGGCCAAGATCACATTTGCTATATGTAGAAAATCATCAACTGATTCAATTTAAACACTTAGCAACTTCATTCTTTCACAGATTTTGGTCAAATTTTATACAAAGGTCAAATATGGGTATACCTCTGTCATCCTTGTGTTTCAGGGTTCCAAGGTCACTGTTACTATATATAGAAAATCATCAACTGATTCATTTTAAACACTTAGCAACTTCATTCTTTCATGGATTTTGGTCAAACTTTATGCAAAGGTCAAGTATGAGCATACTTCAGACGTTGTGTTTCGAGGTTCCAAGGTCAAGGCCAAGGTCACTGTTGTTTTAAATAGATAATCATCATCTGATTCAATTTAAACACTTCGCAACTTAATTCAATATGTTATGGAGATGGTAATTACATACCGAAAAAACATGAATATCAAAATCAACTTATCAACTTTAAGTGTAGTACCTTGCGTGTGCATGTTTCAGGGTATCAAGATCAAAGTGGTTGTAACTTTTTATAGAACACTGTAACTAATTTTACATTGCAGGGGGGGGGGGGGGGG